CCTATCTGAAACCCTTAGAACTTAAATGATAACTGTAATCTTATACTACGAGTTTCGAGATCTGGATCTAGATACTTCCTTATTCTAAATCTGCGGTTTATATTGCGTCGTATAGTTTTTCTTCTAACCACAATATCGCTTAGATATTTCCTATAATCATTCTAAAAACTCCTCCGACCACCTAAATTTTTGTTTGGAGTTTATTATACTAAGATTGCTTTGTTATAAAATCTCTTCCTTTAGCATTGATGTTTCGTCGATGCTCCATTCAAAGATCTAATATCATAATAAATCCTTTGCTGTGTCGATATCTTTTGTTAATCTTAGGTAGTATGAATTTTTTGTAACTGCTCTTATGCTTAATTCCTGGGAATTCTAATTTCTCGAAAGTTTTCAAAGATTTTTCAAAAAATTCTTCTTGGTTTTTCTCTGGTATTTTTGGTATTTTTGGTTTTAGAATTTTTAATAATTTTGAATGTGGATTTTTCGGTTGGACTTCTTCTTCTAAGTTAAAAATTTGATCACTGGTTATTTGCTCCAGTGAGTTTTCGATGGTTGAACTGAAATTTTTTATGGCTTTCTAGGCTTGAACCAGTTCAATTTGCAACCTCTAGATTTCATTGTACAGGCTGATATAGATAGATTCTAATATCTAAATATCAAAAAAATCTAATGCTAAGAATAAATCTTAAATAATGTTTGGGTATTGGAAAACCTTGATTAATTCGCTTATTTTTTTTGGGTTGTACTGGAATAATAAGATAAAATCGAATATATCAAGTGGAGAGACCAAATCAATCAAGATAAAATTTATAAAAGTCGTTAAATAATTCCTAAACATAAGTAATATCGGATGCTGGTTACCAAGTAAATTCATTCCAACCTTTCCACTAAAAAAGATACTAAAGTTTTCGGTAGTGTATTCACAAATCTAAAATTTTCTCGACTTCGTATTCTTCTTCGTTGTTAACAATAACTAGTAGAAGTCGTTCTTCGTAATTTTAACTAGAAAAAACATTATCTGGTGCTAAATACAGCAAGTTAATATAAAAAACAAGATAAATTCTTATTGAGGGGGAAAACTTTAGCTTATATGTTTTTTTTCCTACAAACTTAAGGATCTGAAATGGACCCTTCATCTTATTGAACAGTTTTGAGTAGAATCATACCGTTTTGATATTCTGTATATCTAGCCAGACATGGTCTCCTTCCTTATAATCAAATGATGGCCATCTGTGTTTGTTTACTTGTTTTTGTTGTATCTGTGCGACGCAATTAATTTTTATACACAAAACTTCTTATAATTCTAACATTTACTATACAAACCCTACAACCTCTTAATTTCTAAAAAATTTTCTAAATCCTTGAAATTCAAAGGTATCCAAATTCCATCCATAGTTTGCAACAAATAAGAAGATTCCAGTGGTGTCGGATATCTTATTATTATAGGAATATTCAGCTAAAGGTAGTTATTCAACCCAGTCATCTTGTTAATAATTAACGTAAACTCTAAGATATTATTCTATTATAGAGTTAATTCATTCAATTTATCCATCGGTCTGGGGGTGATAAACAGTGCTAAGTCAATGATAGATCCTCAAACAATTATTAACTTTATCCTAGAATTCATCTAGAAAATTCTTTTTTTTATCTGAAATAGCTTTTTTAGATAATCCATATAATTTCCATATATCCCTAAAGAATAGTCCGACTAATTCTCTAACATTAAGTTTCTTCGTTATCAAAATCAAATATATCATTTTAGAAAGTCTATCCACAATAACAAAAATTGCGTCATATCCATTAGATTCTGGTAATCCAATAATCAAATCAAAAGAGATACTTTACCAGTTTCTTTCTACGATCTGTAATAATTACAGTAATTTTTGGGGTGCATTCCTAAACGCCTTAGTTCGTTTGTAGATATAACAGTTGTCGATATAACGATTAATATCTTTTTGAAGCCCTACCCATATATATTGTTTTTAAACCAGTTCTAGCGTCTTTACTCTCCCTAAATATCCTGCTGTAAAATGGTTATGGTGTTGTTGCAAGATTTCCTCGCGAATCTTTTTATTATCGGGTATTATTTTTTTGTTATTATGGTAGAGTTCGCTTTGTTCTTTTTTTATCTCTGATATTTTAATTTTGGGATGTTGTTTGTTTTTTTTTTGAGGGTTTTTATGATGTTTTGGATGTAGGAATTTTTAAGGGCTGTTGTTTGCTAGGTTTTTTGCGTTGTTATGATACTAATTTGTTGGATTTTTTTAGGCGGTAGTAATATTTTAATTCAATTTTTTATGCACTTATTTTTCTCTCCCTGAGGGAAGTCCTTCGACCTTCTGGTTAATGCATTGGCTTTGGTGTTGGTTTTTCCAAAAACGAAGGTTATTTTAAAGTTGAACTGAGATAGGAATTTTATTTATTTTACTTATCTTTGTTTAAGGTGTTGTTTGGTTATGAAATATTCCAAGTTCTTGTGGTCTGTGAGGATGTGTATTTGAGTGTGGATATTTATTAGGTATCATTTTTATTCTTTAAATGCTTGAATTACTGATAGGAGTTCTTTGTTATGGATATTATAGTTATGTTTTGCTGGTGTTATCTTTTTGGACTTGTAGGCTATAGGGTGCTAGAGATCGTCATTATGTTTTTGAGAAAGGATTGTGGCGTAGATAAAGTTTGAAGTGTTAGTTTTTATTCGTGTTTTTAGTGTAGGATTTTAGTGTTTTAGTATTGGTTCGGTGTAGAATGTTCGTTGGAGTGTCTGAAAGGCGTTCTTTTCTTTTTTTTTTAGTGGAATATTCTATTCTTTTTGGTTAAGTTGTAGAGAGGTTTGGTTATTTTTGCATAGTTTTTAATAAATCGTTGATAAAAGTTTGTAAATTCTAGGAAAGATTGTACTTCTTTGATAGTTTTAGGTCCTTTTTTCGGTTTTTTCTAGTCGAGTATGTCTTGAATTTTAGTAGGGTTTATCTTGATTCCATTGCTTTTAATGATGTATTTTAGGAATTTGGTTTTTTTGGTGAAGAATTTATATTTAGAGAGTTTGATATAGAGTTTTGTTTTTTGTAGTGCTTTGATGACTTTTTTCACATGGCGAATGTGTTCTTTTTTTGAATTGTTGTAAATGTAGATATTATCAAGGTATACTATATAAAATTTGTTTAGGAAGGGTTATAAGGTTTTGTTAATGTAGGCTTGGAAGGTAGTTGGGGCGTTTGTTAATTTAAAATATACTACTTAGAACTTAAAATATTTATATTTGGTGCGGAAAACTATTTTTTCTTTGTTTTTTTTAGTTATTCTGATGCGATTATAGGCGTCATAGATATCCAATCGAGTAAAATACTTGGCTTTTTTGAGTTGATTTAGGGTCTTATCAATTTGTGGTAAGGGGCATTGATCTTTAACGATAATAACATTGAGTTTTCTCTAATTTATGTAGAGTCATAGTTTGTTATCTTTCTTAAAAACGAATAAGATGGGTGTTCCCTATGGGTTGTTGAACCTTCGAATGAATCCTTTAATCATATTTTCTTCTATCTAGGGTTTAAGGATTTTAAAGTGTTCTTTGTTTATTGGTCTTAATAATTCTTAGATGGGCTAAACTTCTGGTGGTATAGGGATTTTTATGTCTTTTTTTTGTCGTAATAGCAAGGTATTTTCTTTCTTTTTTGAGAAAGCTTCGGCAAGATCTTGAAATTTATTAGGAAGTTTAATAATTTCTTCGATTTCGATTATATCATCGATAAATGTGACTTATTTCCATTTTCTTTTTAGGTTGTAGATAACAAAAACAAATCTTTGTTTTATGGTTCTCTTAAAAACTTCCGTGCTTATAATGGTGATTTTGGGTGAGCAATTCATGTGTATTTAATTATTTTCTTAATTGATATAAACTTTATGCTTTTTATGTTATAACTTTCCCAAGTTTAAAGGTTTGGTGGTGTTAACAATATCGGTATTGACGATTTTTTTATGGTCTTAGATTTTCATTTTGAATTGAGTCATTTCCTTAACAAATTCTCTAATTCCATTGAAGTATTCTACAAATTCAGGGATCTTTTTAGGATAAAATAGAAAATCATTCTTAATTGTAAATTTACGACTCATATATATTCCTATATCGCCGCTATCCAAACATGCAAAAGTTTTAACAAGTTTCTAAGAATAAAAATACAAGATAATAGGGATTTTAGTATAAAATTCAAATAATATTTCAATTTCTTCAAAATTTAAACAAGAAAATAAATTCTAAAATACAAAAAAAATTCGTAGTATTCTTCGAAGCTAGGAAATTCTCAAAATAACAAATCGGGTCCTGCCTTACTGTGTGTCATAACTTACAGTTAAGCCTACTCTTTTCCCTATTCCTCCTTAGCGTTTTTTTGTGGGTGATACCCCAAAAGGGATGCCATCTCATTTTAAATATCCTCATAGATAAATCCTCAGATATTCTAGTCTCTAGTAAGACGGAGGTTGTAGGGGATACGTCGGGTTAGTCTTCTTTGGGACCTTTTATTTAAACAATTGTTAGCGAAATGTCTTTTTTCTCCACAGTACAGACATAGCTTCTGAGCTCAACGTTGGTTTTTTTCTTCCTAGGTTAATCATCTTCGAATGTTTCCGATGGATTGATCCATGGATCCAGGTCCGAAATAATTATTTTTTCAGGTTTGCTAAAGCTAACCAGTATTGCCAGTTCTTATTGGTTTTTTTGGTGCTAGAATCAGGGTATTCTTCTTTTGGAATCCTCCAATTGTTAGGTTTCGAGATTTCTTTTTTGCATCCAAGGTTCGCCAATTATTGTTAAGACGTTAACAGAGAATAATAAAATTATTAAAGTCTTCAAAAAACGTTTCCTTGGTAATCAGAAATTCTTCTATTTTAATGCATAAACCATGTCGTAAGTAAACGATTTGAGCAGCATCATCATAGTTCAGACGTCCCATAAGACGTCTAAATTCTGTCAAGTAGGTAAAAAAGGGTTTATTGGCCTATCTTAGGTTTCTCAATTCTCGTTCTGCGGTTCCAGCAGGGTTAGGATCTCCGAAAGCTTTTTCAAACCATATGGTAAACTCGGCATAGATATCCCAATTCCATTCTTTATCATCAATATCATATTCATTAAAAGCTAATTCTACTAGGTTTCCTTTAAGAAAACTGACGACATACACAATCTTCTTTCTAAATATAGCAAATTTAATGGCTTCTCCTTCATATTTATTATTGAGCTGAGCCAAGAAATTTCGTAATTCATAGGGCTTAATACCGTCGAAGGGGTCGAAATCTAGAAATTTAATGCTTAAAACAGCCACCAGAACTACTATAAGCATGCTATTTCTGAAATATTCAAAAACTGCCATCATAACTTTAGTTTGTTTAATAGTAAATCCTAGTAAGACAACGACCGCAGTTTCTCCCTCAACATTTTTTCCCTTAGAGAACTCGCTTTTTAGTAGAGCCGGTACTAACATTTGGGTATTAAATTGATAAAATTGCGAAACAACAAAATATAAGAAATCGTATACAGCCTAATCATAATATCAAGGTAATACACAAATATCACAGGACAAAAATAATGTACTAATGTAAATACAAATTAATACTTAAATTATTGCTTGGTTTCTAAATACATGACAGCGAACTTAACAGTTTAAATAAACAATTAACAAAGGAAATAACAAAGTAAACTAAACAGAAGATAAATCTATAAACTAAACAATCGGACATAAAATATTAAACTAGACAAAAGATAAGTCTATAAACTAAACAATCAAACATAGAGTATTGAACTGGACAAAAAATAAGTCTAAACTAGACATTCGGAAATACAAAGTACTAAACTGGACAATACATAATTCTACATAATAAACGAGTGTGTATAACAAAATACTCTTTCTAAAAATTGCCAAAAAAACGAAAACTTTCCTATCTAGAACCCTTAGAACTTAAATAATAACTGTAATCTTATACTGCAAATTTCGAAATCTAGATCTAAATACTTCCTTATTCTAGATCTACAGTTTATATTACGTCGTGTAGTTTTTCTTCCAACCACAATATTGCTTGGATGTTTTTTATGGTCATTCTGAGGGCTCCTCCAGCCACCTGGATTTCTGCTTGGAGTTCATTATGCTGAGATTGCTTTGTTATAGATAATATAAATTCATTATTATTAAAATTATTATTAATAATAAAAAATTTAAAAATTATAATTATTTTTAATTAATTTAAATTATTAGTATGTACAAAATAATTAGTTTTATTATTCCAAAAATTAATTTTAATAGATTGATTTTAAATTATTAATTATTGATATTCAATATAACTTATATTTAATAAATTATTAACTAAATTAAACTAACTTTATTTAAATTCTTGATCAAATTAATTAATAAATTAATTAATAAGTTAATTAATAAATTAGTTGATAAATTAGTTAATAAATTGATTGATATACTATTAAATTGGAAAAGAATTTTAAATATAAATAATTTAAATTTAATAAATATTATAATTATTTTTAAGAATATATGGTATATATATATTTTATTAAAAATTATAATTTTAATAAAAATATTTTTTTATAGTATTAAAATAATGATTTTTATAAGAATAATAATAATAAATATATTTAATAGTTGTTTTGAAATATAATTAAAGTAATAATAATTTCTTTTTATTAAATAGTTTAGGAAAAATAAAAATATCAAAAGAATTATTTTTTTATAAAAATTCTTTAAAAATTTTTCGAATTTTTAATAGAATAGAATCTTTGTAATATTGATTATAATATTTACCAATATTAATCGAAATATAAACTTATTGTTACACCTGTCCCAGGATTCCTTGGCAAGGTTTCCTAAAACAGCTTAGCACTTTGCTATGTTTCTCAACTTTATATGTTCAGATCTCTCAGAGGGTAGTATAGTATTCGGGATGAAGATATAAAGTTATATAAATAGAAAGTGTAATATAGTAATTAGTTGTGAGACTAAATACTATTCAAGTAGGTTGTAGATTAAGTTGATAAGTTGATTGATGAAGTTTAAGAGTAAACTTAGAGATTGTTATCGTTTAAAGGTCTATATATATATGAGGAAGTTCTCTATAGAATTTTAAAATACGACAAGCAATTAATCATAAATGGTGTTGAGGTCGTGAGCGCTCATGAGGTTGTGAGCGCTTGCGACTATTTTGACTACTAATATTCAAGCCTTGGCATTAAACTATGTATATGTAACTAAATGGTTTAGTTGTTAATATTTCTGATTGTTCCAAGGGAACGAATATGTGTTGTTTTGGATAATACAAAATATATAAGTGCAGAATAAGAAGTATATTCTTTTAAATAGGAAGATTCGAGAAATTATATAAAGAATAATTCTGTGAGTAAAATAGAAGTAAGAAACAGAAGTATGTTTGTTGCGCCAAGTTTTATTTCTTAATTTGGTTAGTTAATATGGTTGGGCCGTGATATTATCTTCTTCTTACAAGAAATTTCATTATTCAAAATTTTTGTGCGGGATCTTTTCGTAGATGGTAAACATTCCAAAAGGGAAACATGGTGTTGCGAGGAAATTTTGTGCGGAAAAATATTGTGTGTGGGAATTTGTGTTGGGGGACTTTCTTGTACGGGGATTTCTTTTAGGGATATATTTTGTAGGAACTTTTAATTGTAAGAGAAAAGTCATGTACGGTTATATAGGATTATATAAGTAGGTATATGTATAAGAATAATAGATTTGTACTTGAAGTTGAAATCAAAAACTTAAACTATTTTATATCCTTCGGTCGGTGTGTATTTAACACATTTTATATTATGAGTAGTAATAAGATTTAAAAACGTTAGAAAAAACGGAAACCAGGCAGTACTTCAGAGTATCGCAAAAAATTTCTCAAAGACTTTGATCAATTCGGGGTGTAAGCAGAGGTTTCTTGTGATTATTGTATTAAAGGAGATTATCTTTGCTTTGTTATGGAGGGTTCGGTGAGGTGTTCAGTTTGTGTGTGTAGAGGGAAGAGTGGTTGTAACGCAATACTATGTAAGTGAGTTTTCTTCTCAGAATCATATTCTAATTTTAACTTGTGATTTCTTCAGTGTTTCGTATTTTAGAGGTACAGAGTCGTAAATATCGAAAGCTTTAGGAGATAGCTGTACGATTTGAGATTGTTTAGAAAAATGTTCTAGATCGACAGGATGAGGTTAAAAAAGCTTAAAAGGGTCTGTTAGATTTTTTAGATTTTTTTAAGAAGGTTGTAGCGGAAATGAGTTGCTGCTAACGGGAATTATCTATCATTATTGATAAATATAAGGAGAGCTTGGTTTATATAGAAGTAATTTTGTTGGAGGAGGATGCTCTTTGAGGGGAGGTAGAGGAGACTGATTTAGGTGTTCAAGAATAACTAAATCATTTGAGGGGAGATATTTGGGATTTTATGGATTCTTGGGTTGATGATGGGGAGGTTATTTTGAAAAGGGTGCTTGATAAAGATTTCGTATTTGTGGAGTATTTTTATATGTTATAGTGGAATCTTTTAGGGTCTTTAACTACTGCTGAGTTTTTTCAAAATCGGGAGGAGTTTTTTATGTTGGAGTTTTTGGGGGATATTTATGGAGATGTTCAAAACAATCTTGCTTGATTTTTTCTTGTATTCATAACTCTTTTTAATTTCAAAATAAAATGCCTTGTTGAGAGTTTCTTCTTGCGTTTGTGGAGTCTCTAACTCCTAATATTGTTTCTTTGTTTGGGGGGATTTGTTCGTTGTGTACCTTTCTGTTGGTGTGGCTTGCTTAATGAGAAGTTCTAGGTAAACTTCTTTGATGTTGGGAGGTTAGGGAGGTTGATTTAGACTGGTTGTACTAGTGGTGCATAAGGGGGTGTATTTGTGGTGAGGGGTGTTGTTAGGTGTATGTAAGTTATGAATGTTATTGTAATTCTCGCTTCTTGCTAATCGGCATTCTTTTTAGGTCGTTTATGTCTTCTTTTTGGTGCTACATTGTCTTGTTAAGCGAGTATTTCGGGTTGCTTTAGATAGGATTGGATGAGTTCTGGGGAAATGTTTTTTTTTGGTTGTTAGGAGTTATTTTTTGGGTCATAGGGTAAAAATTATCGAACAAGATATTCGTTATTCTTATTGAATCCTTCGAAAATCTTTTCGACGTCGTATTTGGTGTAATCGTCGTATTCGATTTCCATGTCTTTTGGGTCTTTTTGTAGTCCAAGTAAAGCGGGTTCTAAGAGAAAAATATGAAATGTGCGATGAATTCGTAAAAGTCCAGGTATATCCAATTTGTATTGGTGTTTATTCAATTGTCTTTTGATTGTGTAGAGACCGTATTTCTGAAAATTAAGTTTTTTAGGGCGCTTAGTTTTCAAATTTCGCGCAAGCAAATATACTTTATTTCCTTTTTTTAATAAAGAAACTTTTAAATACTTTTTATCATAATAATAAGTTATTCGTTCTTAAGAAAATTAAAAGTCTTTCCTAAAGATACTATGAAAATTCTTTATTTTTTCCATATATTCTTCAGCGTTAGGCACGACTTCTTTAGGTCGAAGAAAAGATAAAAAGACTTTTGGAATCCATCCACGCAAGACTTCATATAACAATAGCTTCGTAGTTAAGTATTGCAAAGTATTATATACAAATTCGGCAGAAAAAAAAAAAGATATCCAATTTATCTACGCATAATTCACAAAACATCGAAAATATATTTCGAAAATCTAAATCAGACGTTCTAAAGCACCATCCGTCTAAAAATATACCTTAAAAGCAATATTTAATTTAATACTAGTCTAATTCATAACTGATTGCCAATACTTACTCTAAAAGAGTTGATCTCAATCGCAGATATATTTATGTTGGATTCCATACTTAAAAAAGATATGTTGGAGGTAGACATATTAAAATTTGGTTATTCCAAACTTTTCATGCCATGGTATAAAGATAACGATTTTCGAGAATTTGCAGATAATAACTAGGATTTCGTTAAAGATAAAATTAGTAAATGAATTTCGTGAAAATTGCATTCCTTAAATAAAGTCATAGGTAATAACTTTAAAAGGTGCACAAAGTACATTGTGGGGTTAAAGAGTTCCGTAAAGCTTATATCGATTGGGCTTATTTCAACAGCACATATCGCAAGTTTTAATATATTCTTCGATATATTTTCTCATATTAGGCTAGTAATACAATTTCGTCAAGAATTCCTAAGTACAATCTACTTTTAAATAGCCATAAACGAGAAAGTTGTAATGTTAAAAGATAATTTCTGTTTGGAGTTTCTTCAAAGGAATATAAAAAACGTTACGAAATAAAATAATTCCATCGTAAAATTCAAAATGTTGGAAAAAATCTTGAGCTCGTTCTAGTATTTGTCATACAACGGCGTTGTACTAATAACTTTACATAATTTTTCCTTTAAGCTTATCTTTTATAATATGTTTTGTGAGGTTGAGGGTTTTGTTGA